TTGAGTTTGTTAATCAAAAATCCGTTAAGGTTTTACAAAGTATGAAATCGATAATAAAATAAATTCCAAATTTCAAATTTGGGCTTCCAGATACCCATACTCGAAGCAGGATTACGTCATTCAAAATTGGATGGCTCTAGGTACCGTTGTTTTATCACAATGTGAGAAACATACATACATTTACGCAGGTTCTTCATTATTTAATTTCTTCAAATATAATACAGGGCGATAATATATGGTGGCAACAATCTGAAAAGTGAAACGGTCATTCAGAGTGATTCGACTCAAAATCGCCAAACGAAAACTAGTCCTTCAGGTACAGAGCTCCCCGCCCCCCAAAAAATCATAACCTTCCCTGTTATTATTACATTCGGAATAATCACAGAATGTTAATCTTAAAAAGTTACAGCAAGCTATTTTCAAAAGAAAAGCACCAGAAACTACTACATGTCAAAGGGCACCACTAAGGCTGAAAGTAAAATGCACTTAAAAAATAATTTGTCAAAACGCTGGGGAATAAATAACAAAGTAATCTTAGAATGATTTGTAACACGAATTTTAAAAGCTAAATGACAAATACACCGAACGCTTTCGCTTTTCGAATACGTCTTTTTTAAGTTGACATTCCGCTTTATATAACTTTTTTTGTCAGTGTATTTTTAGCATGAATATTCTTGTACATAATACTTCATTCTGTCAGTTATAATGCAGCTTCCTCAAGTCTAATATGTTTTCTTTTTTCTCGACTGTTTCAAAGCCAGCATAACATTCTGCCATTCAGTTGCGCATTCCAAAATTTTACCTCTCACAGTGCTAATTTATATCAGACATGTTTCTCTTTTCCAAATTTTTATGTAAAAAAGAAAATATGTTATTTACTTTCTTAAGACTTATTAAAATTTTGGCAAAGATTTAAATTTTCTATAATTTTAAAATGACGATTACAAACAATACTTATGCAAATGCTGGAAGAGATTGCTGAACGATCTCTAATATTCGGGCAGTAACTGAAGTAAAAAAATACTTTAAAATGAACCCTTTGATTTCGTAAATAGGAACTATCTTTTGAAAATTTTAGAGCATTGCGTATTCCTTATGTTTTGATTCACATTTTAGGAGACCTATTGAAAACATACACTAAACAGAGGATTTTCCACACACTTGCATCACATACAATAAATACGAGCGTTACTGGTAACCTAAATACAATGTAACCTCTCTAAGGCCACTACATATAGTTCCACACAATTTTGCTCTTCTGCGGAGGTAGTTGACTTAGAGAGATGGTTGTTGTTGTTACGCTGTCCATGTATTTCATGGAAGAATGTTTGCCAGAGCCTGAAGGAGATTGGATTTTACTTCCATTCCAATTCTGAGGAAGATCTATCTCTTGAGAGGATTCCGAGGGTTTCCCACCCCATCTCCTCTAACCACCATAATACATCAAAGGACTTTTGGCTCGCTATATATTTAGAGTGTCCTCATACCGCAAAGACACCATACATTTACAAACATCGAAACCTTCTCCAAAATTCGAATCCGTGCCCTTCGGTATCGCAGTATTGACTTCCGCCGAGTTCGTAACCAATTCTGCATGGATATATCTATACCTGGGTTGGAAGCCAACTCAGCGGTTTACCTCTAACCACTGTACCATCTAGGCGGCAAAGTGATACATAGTGAAGGACACATCTCTTTCCTTAGAAAGGAAGTTACTTTCAATGGTGGTCACCAGGAGATGGGTACTGTAATACAGTGAAACGACTTACGGCAGCGACTTTTCTTAGACGATAGCATTATTTCTCTATATAAATAAGACAAAAGTAACAAACGATGCTGTACATCGTCGACAGTTTTATTCTCCAAAGTAATCATTTTCGTTGAAGATCGAATCGTTCAAAATCATGGATAGGAAGACAGAGCTGTATTTGCAATATTGTCATAAGTTTGTAAATATGTGCGTAACTTTATTGTATCTAGCTTCATTTTAAAGCAAGAGTATTCCTTTTGAAAAGTACCGATTCTTTTATAGTATGTGTTTGAAAAGTATAGATAGAAAAGCTAGATAAGTTTGAATACATTTAATAACAGTTTTCGGAAGTTTCTTATATTTCATCAGCTTCATAAGCTCTGCTTTTAAGTTTTCAGTCGGCTTGATTCGAATGAAGTACAGGAGATAAATGGTCAATAATGAATGAGATTTCAGTTACAGTCTGCTTGATTTAGAACTGTTTAATTTATTGTTCTATTTTAAAAGTTTATATGTAAAAATTAAGAAACATCATCCATTCTTTTAAAAACTGCGAACATTCCAAATAATCTTCAATTTTAAATTTCTAAAATTTAGATTCAAGAGATAATGAAAAGTACTGGAACAAGAATTCTCTAAGATCTTTTAATCAAGGAGATTCTGAATTCTGTCTCTCTCTCCCTTTTTTTTTATCCCCTTCTATCTGACATGATGTAAAACGTTTGTGCTCCTGCTGTCAGGAGTAGCATTTAAGTGTGGACAAAAAATATGCAACTTCTTTGATCCGAAACACGTTTCACTGAAAGAAATTTGGATATGACTCGCATTCAAGAAATACGCGAAACTATGAAAGCAATAATACATATTTAAGTTTTAGGCCTTTATGACAATACGACTAAAAGTTAAGTAATGAATAATCTTAGATAAATTAATTATATTAAATTACGTTCTATATTAATTATCCTTCCTAAAGCAAAAATTTAATGAAATACATTTATTTATACAAGTCATTCAATATATTCCCTATATTTCCAACAAGATCCTAAACCTTGACCTAATAGCATTCATATAGAATTTTCCCAATGTTTATTTTGGCAACAGTCGGCATTTGACGGGCAAATGTTTCAAAGCGATACACGTTCTTGTATACCTAAATTTAGCAAATACCGAAATAGCTATCTCGAGTTTTTCTATACTACTCATTTATACATGGGATGTCTGTTTCTCAGATATATGTCAGACAATTGATATCTTAACAACCACACTAGCACATTAGCATGACTAGGACTGGATGAATTTAACTCAACTTTCCAATTATAATTTCTTATAATACGCGTAGAAAATCTTCATGAAGACTTGCAGAAGAGCTACAAACTTAAAACATTCAAGGCTTTTTAGGGAAAATTCTTTACAGAAAGGCATTAGAAGGTTCTGCACTTTTTACACTGATCTCATAGGCAAATTTTGGTATTAATTCAAAATCAAAAAAGAACAAAATAAAAAATCAGTTGTTATTTTTAGGGATGGGACATTCGAATCCTGGAAAAGATCCGAGATTCCAAAACTCTAATTAATGGGCCTTTATCTATCATTCAAATCCTAGTTTAGAAAACTGTTAAATGATTAAATTCAAAATTTTAAAGCTGTCCATTACAAAAAAAAATGTGCATGCTGATATTTCACTGCTGGATCAGAATTATCAGTCTCTGTCACGATGAAAAATTGAATTATCAATGCCGATGATTACTCATATTCTCATATACAGTAATCAGTTTCAGAGGTTTGGTAACTAAGAAATGGTTCATTCCGTTTATTTTCTCAGAAATAAGTTGTCCCCACGAGATGTTTCAATGTATTTCATACCCTGAGATATTTAAAATTACTTTAGATATAAGTACATGTATAAAAGCTTTAGGTACTTTTATGTATTTACTTAATTTCATTCTAATAGAAAAATTACATTGGCTTGAGTATTTTCCCAATTTTATAACAGTGGCAGAAAGGAAGTACAACCTACTATGTTCATTTCTTAGGTTTTCATTAAAACTCGCAATTCATTGTGCATTGAATAAGAATTGAAATAAACACTATCTTACAAAACAATAAAGCTAAAGACAGACAAGTCATTCTTATAGATATTTATCGAGTACGGAAGAAAACTTTTCAAAGCTATTTTAAAATACTTGTAAAGTAGAACACAGCGATTCATAATTCTCTTTGGGGGTTGCGAAAATTTCCCCATCCGTGAAAGGTCGGACGCTGGCTTCGGGAATGGCCAAAAACCACTGACCATCAATCATTAAGAAAAACTGCCTATTTGCAACACATTGAACAGATCGCCATTACATTCAGATGAAGAGACGACAGAAGGAGAGACATAAAACTGCAAACATTTACATAAAAACTCTTCCTCGGCATTCGAACCCAAGTCCATTGCTGTAACAGGCGGGTCTACTAATCATCACACTAAACAAGACGCCTAAAGTTTTCAGTATGTTAATGATAACAAAAACAAGAAAAATGAGCAATCAGCATTAAGAATCTCTCCAAGTTTTATGCAGGTAGGTGCACTCCTAGTGATGTCGCAGGCATCAATCCAGAATTCAAGATCATGCCACATACCTCAGATGCAAGCGACTGCATACGTGATTCCCTCACAGAGAGGCGCTAAATTTCATGCCAAAGGGGCGCGGCTACATAATCTTTAACGTAACCCCATAAAAATCATATGAGCTTATTTGAGGCAACCGTGGAGGCCACGGAAGAACAGGATAAGAGATGTTGAGAACCACATAAAAACAGATGACCATGAATTTCAACACTGAACTAAGAGCGAATCATCCACGCTTAGATATAAGAAATAAACTACTCAAAACGAAGTTCTGGCTGTCCTTCTATACTTAATGATATTGTAGCAGCATATCTATGTACGTGGCATTCCTAACAGTCTACTCCATAAAGACAAATGACCTATAATTGTTACGTATACAATTACGTCCCCGAGCCTACCTACGAGTGTGTACTTGAAGACATCCTTCTTGGAGGTATATACCTTTTTGTATAGTACCTGTTATAACTATGTACTATGCTTTCGAAATCCCGAAGGGAATTATTAACAACTCAGTGTATGTTAACATGCTATGGTATTTCTATTTTTTATCACTACAATTCAATGAACACATGCAGATGATTTCACATCAATATAAGAATAAGCTAAAAAAGAAATTTACACAAAAACGATTACTGAAAGGAAGATTAAATACATTTTATTCAAAATTTATACAACATACATCAGCCTGATTGCACCTTACACACGGTGTACAATATAAGGACGATAAGATGGAACCCAATTACAGCAATACGTATATCATCAATATGGCTTAAGAAATAGATTCGACGTTCTTTCTACTAAAAATTATATTCAGAATACTGATTACGATTTTATTCTCACTCAGCGATGACTTTGTGTCACACACATAAAAATACGTATAATGAGTCTTCAACATTAAGTCGAAGCAGATAAAGTACAGCACATAAACAACTTTGGCAACCTGACTGGAGATCATTTCTCCATTTGAAATCTTGCCTTCAGGTAATGTTAGCAAGATTCCACTGGAACAAATAAGAGTGATAAAATTATGTACATCTTCCAAAAAAAAAAAAAAAAAAAAAAAAAAAAAAAAAAAAAATCTCTCTATTTGGCATTCGAAAATTCCCATGTAAAGCCACATAACTTAATCTGAAATAAGTTGATGATGGAGCTTTGGTGATCAAGTCTCTTGAGAAATATGAAAAATGCATAATCTCTTTTAATAAATACAATGTAGGTGGCGCTAGCGATGTTCATGAACATCATACAAATAAAAACTGAACAAAAAAAATGTTCCCTTCATTTTGAGACTCTGTATTTACACCTTTACAACGTGTATCCATGTTACATACAGCGCAGTTTAACAGTCTAAAACTGAAGTTCTTTCAGTCCACAGGAAAAAATGAAAAGTTTTTCAAAAATAATACAATTCAATCATGAATGAGGATTTAAAAACTTCTGAAAATTAAAATGGTAACTGAAATATGCTGATTTGTCTTAGATCTTACGTTTTGGTGCTAGCATTGATCGGTACGTTGCCGTCCACGTTCTTGTTGGAGGAGGAATTTGGAGTGGATGTCGTATGGTTGATAGCAGAAGCGGCGGCGGCTGCAGCAGCCTTAGCTGCTTGAGACTGACGTTCTTGTTCATTTAACTCCTTAATGGCTTGGACCTCTTTCTTGAGTTTCATTCTCCGATTCTGAAACCAGATTTTAATTTGGCGTTCGGTGAGACAAAGTGAATGGGCCATCTCAATACGACGTCGGCGGGTGAGATAATGGTTGGTGTGGAATTCTTTTTCCAGTTCTAGTGTCTGATATCGAGTGTAAGTTTGGCGACCTCTTCTTCGCAATCCATTTGGACCTGTAAAAAATAAGATAAGACGTAAGTTTAATGTTTGCTACGTATTTATTTACATACACTCATTAAATACACTTTAGTGTTTTATATAATCCCGTATTATTAATATCGTAACGTAAATCTACATATATATATATAAGAAAATATGCATAAAATTGAAGGTAGCTCTTTCTCCAAAAAGTATTCGACAAGATGTTAAAATTCATTTCTTAATATATTATGAAACTAATTCAATTAGTCGATTACATTATTAATGCAGTGCTCAGAGCTCGTGCCCCCCCCCCAACATTAAATATAAAGAAAATAATGAGAGAAAACAGAAAACTGGATATAAAACTTTTAAAAGAAATTATAATAATATGACATTAATGCCTATTTATTCCTTTCCTCTTTAAAAAATATATCAGCGACATTTTAACACAAAAATTATTCATATTGTTGCGCTTAGAAATGTGTAAAATTAGGCAAAGCACACGAAGATTTTTAAATAAAACGCTACTAATTTCGATTGCAGTCTGATAGAGAACCTTCTTTTTCAGGTGCAAATAAAGAATATTAACAGCTATTGAGGAAGAGTCATATTGTGAAATCGTCCTCAAAGCCAATAGAATTTTAATTAACATCCAAGCCAGTTTAAAGTTTCTCTTCAACGTAATTTATATTGGTATGTTAACTTCCAGTTAGAAATGTATTACAATAACGGTTTGAAATGAATAACAAGCTCAGCAGCGACCGTGCGTAAAGCCGCTGAACACCATTAGTCGGTCCGAAGTTCGAATCCCGCGAACGGGCTGGTTGCATGAGCGTTTTCGTGGTTTTCCCCGTGTGTGACGAGCCAGTTTCCATTAGAAAGTTCTCCACGAAGGCATCCTTCCCTTAAGCAGATAGCCCCTGAGGCTTTGTCGTAATCACATAAACCAAATTAAACCAATGACTTTTCTGCAGGCAGTTCCAGAAGTACGTGGCGTATAAATATAAGGGAAATATTTCAAACATTATAATTGTCAGAAATTTTATTTCCCATTTTAGCCCAAATATCCGGACTGCGTAAAATGGTAGTAACCTTGTATTTCGAAGAACTGGACAACTGGAGTGTCTTCTCCTCTCCGGTGGCTTGGCTCAGATATATAATTGATGCAGTAAGCGAAGTAATTCCGTAATGAAGGAATTTTTTTAATTTGACTTAACAGCACGACACTTACTGTTTAACATTCCATTTATCTTTCAACCAAAATAAAACAACAGAACTAGTTTTTCTTCGCATAAGACTTAAAAATAAACACTTCTAAAAATGGTATTCTGGCTTTAGTTTTTGACAAAAAATTACACAACCAATGCATTCAAAATGCCAAACTCCTTTCTATGCAGCTCATGCATTTTTTTACTATGGAATGTATACTATTTAACTTAAAATATTAAATATAACTATTATTACATGTCAAGGAACATTAAATTTGGCATTAGAAATGTTTCTTTATGAATTATGATGTAAACTTCGATTAAGATATAAGTTATATCAATTCTATCATAAAATTTAATTCTATAATAAAAAATGACAAATTATTTAAAAGAAATTTTATTGCTTTTCAATTGGTCTGTTTGTTAAGCAACCGCAATTTCAATCTGAAAGATTAATTGATGATCCTAGCCTAACTGAACGGCAATACTCTAAGCAACGACTGTTTGTGATGCCACATAAAAATTAAATTAAAAACCTGAAGCCTCTTAGAATAGCAGTTCTTGCCAAGCTGTGTGAATGATAAATGCTTCGCAACGTAATGCAGCGACTAGCGGAAACTCGTCCAGAGATAAAATTAGGTAAACAAATTAACAAACTTAATATTAGAATGTCTTAGAAATGAATAAGCGATCCGGATAATTGGAGTTCGATCATACTATAAAAACTACCATACCATATTAACCATCTATAGAAATTGCTCTTTTTTTACTGCAAGATGAAATTCGCAAAAGAACTTTTCCGATTTGAAACAATCAATCAATCTACAAATATCTGCTTTCTCTAACTGACGGTACTTCACCTATTATCGAACTCCACTCCGTAAACAGCATGAACTCTAACCGATCATTTCAGAACGTTTAAGAAAAGTAATTTTTTCCTCTTTTTAGGGGAGGGAAGCTATAAAAAGAATAGACATTATGTAAGTTGCAGTTATGCTTTCCCGCAGAGAGAGCTCTGAAGCTTATGAGCACTTGGAAAGCGATAAAGCGGACAATAAGCTGTCAAACGGCCCATAAAGCGAGAGGTCACAAAGCCGTAAAATCTTTCACCACCGACAAGCATCGCCGGATTTTACAATCCTCCATTAACTCCTTATAACAGCGGATATACCGTGTTTTAACTACATTGTAAATACCGATGGATCTCGCGCACACTGATTTAACTCAGCCTGTTTAAAATGATAGGTTATTTATTTGTATATACACAAAAGCGAATTTTCTAGTAAATTATAACTATCTACCTGTGCATAGTTATATATTGCTATGCCTTTTTTTTTTTTTTTTTTTTTTTTTTTAATATCCTTTTACTAGGCGGAACTGAGTTTCAGGCTTTGCTGAACTGCATAAAAAAATAATAGTCTCTCTGTTCGAATATGATGATATCACACATTTAAGCAAATGCTTAAATTTTAAGAACTAACGGCTAAATGATTGCTAAAGCAAAGAGGTTTTTCGTGTTAATTGAACACAAATTTTGAAATTTAAAATTGAAAACACATTAAAATAAGAGTATAATTATTTCATTCACTGTTAAGCATTAGACTTAGCTTAAAAGCTTCTTTAACTTAAATTACTTTGTTATACTTAAAACAATTTGCAAAGCTTATTTTCATCCTTAAATTAATAAACAATGTGTATTAAATTTACATAATGGCTGACAAATTTTATGGATGAACTTTATTGATACAGAAGTGTCACTTATTTTAACAGCATTAAAGAATTAATTTAAGATGCGGTTTCGTTTAATTTATGTTAGTTATAGGTATTCTCCACTGATAGCATAAAAGCCTCCTTCTAAAAAAGATCTGAAAACATGATGATTGATACCGAAAACAGCTTCCACAACCCCTTCCTCAGAACATCAAATAATCTCGAATTGTATATGATTGTTTTATAAAGAGTTCATTGTATTTTAAAAATGAAATAACTTGTATTATGATAAAATAATTTTAAAAGCACAGAAATAGACGATTATGAAAGAAAAAACTTTTTTCGGAAACGATATTTTAAATGTTTTCTTCAAATCGTAGTAAACTGAAGCTAATGCGTTACGTTTGTTCACGTTACGAAATACAATAATAAGTTTGTTCCAGATACTTTATTTTTTAATATGGCAGACACTTGCCTATAACGCCATTGGCCATTTCTAAGGCCAGAAAAAGTGGCCACTTTATTTTGAAGGCACCTAATAGGCGGCCGCCGATACCTCCTATGAAAGGACAGACAATTTTACATACATGCTTTCTCCGGGATTGGAACTCGGGCCCTTCGATATCGCAGCCAGGCTCCCTTAATCACTATACTGTTTGGGCGGCTCCGGTGCAGATACTTAAAAAATCCATTTATCTATCTTTTCACCTCCGCAACTTTCTTGTCTATATGACTTTATTATAAACTTCTGCAATCCCTGGTAGAAGTTTATTTACTATCGTCAGCAACTGCTGCCACTCAGACGTTCTGACACAGTAAATCCTCTCTATAACGACAGCCTGCGGCTGCAAAGGATTTTTGACTTCTTTGGATTTATATTTTGAAAAGACTTCACATGTGGTCGTCGTGGGAAGAAAGTCGCCACGACGGAGCTCAATGCAATACTAAATTCAGTATCAGAATATGTTGCATCACGGATTTCTTTCTCGGCAACCAATCTAAAAATACACGCGTAACCTTCAAGTGAACGACAATGAGTTTCTCAAATACCATTTTCGCCTGCTAATTTCTTCATCGTATTATTTAGAAGCCTTCGATTTATACTGGCAACATGCAAGGTACAGAGGAATAACAAAAAATATACAGCGAAGCTAAAAGAATAGTACTAAAAGCAATAATTGGGCCCACCGGCCGAAGAACAGGGGTAGTTCGGTCCGAGATTCGAATCCCGACGAATGGGTTTGCTGCGTGAGCGCTTTCGTGGTTTTTTCCATGTGTAACGTGTATACGAGCCAGTTTCGATCAGACAGCCCTCGAGTGCTTTGCTATAATCAAATAAACCTTACCAAACCAAACGCAATAATTGTAACTGGCTTCTTTTAAATAACAAAATAAAGCAATATTATTACATATCTTTTCAAATGGTCTTTTCTGCCAAATTCTTTTAGTTTAACTCCTAGTTTCACAAATGTTAATTTTTTGCATCATTTTCATTGGAAAAGTAAGAGCAAATGCTTATAATAACAGAAAGTAAAGCACGTTTTAATCTCAATCACCTGCGCAAACTGAATGCATAAGATAATGGGAAATTAATTCAGAAATGTCTTGTGATCATCAAAATTCAACTATTCAAATTTTAAAGGAAAGTTATACAGAGTTATTTAAAATAGGGTTTAGTGAACAACACATCATAGACTTTATGTGTTGCTTCACAAAGAGTATCTATCATATTTCCTTTTTATGAAACCATGTTGAGAGATTTTTAAGACAAAATAGCAAAAATTCCGCAGCATTATAATGTACATTTAACATGAATTCAATTTTTTAACCTACAGTATCTGATTAATTTCACAGTATAATTTGTTTGTTTACACATTCCAAAGATTCAGCTTTGCTCTTTTATATCGATCCTAGTTTTGTTCTTAGCATCTTTCCACTAGATTCTGTTCAATCAACTCACCCTGAGTCTAAGTGTAACAAAATATTAAATCTTTATAATTCTTGTTTTTTGTAGCCATTATTCTATGTTTCCTTCATTGACATTTTTAAAAACTAACGGCTATAAAAGCAAGTAGTATACTAAATAACACATATGAATTTCATATAAACCAATA